CATCTCATATTAGTTCAGCCCTTCCTGCTATCGTCTCTTGCATGTGTGATTTTGTTGTTCCAGCTCATGAATGTGCCCCACTAAGGGCTCCAGACAGGGGGCTGATGAACTGCTCTCATCCTCATGAGGAGTTCAGGTTTGGTTCCAGGTGCGAGCTGGACTGTGAGGAAGGCTTTGTACTGAGAGGCTCAAACACACTGCAGTGTACTGCATCTGGACTCTGGGCACACACACTGCCCACCTGCCAGGGTGAGTTCAATCAACACTCTGACTCTCTATGGACTGCAACAGTTTTGTGAACGTTAATAAATAAAATTATGAAGTCTCCTATTCTTCAGGTCAATTTGTACTGCCTTACCTGATTGAATAGGGTGTGGTGTGTCTTCCACACGGTTTTATTTTTTATATTTTTTCAGCCCAGTCCCATTCCATTCTGGTAGTAAAGACTTCAGCTGAAGCTGTAATGAGGGCAGTGGTTAGTTGGACTGAACTAGTTATACCAGTTTCAGTTGGATTGAGATCTGGGAATCTTTCTGCCCAGGGAAGGAGATGGAAGTCAGTCTAATGCTCCTCACACCAGCCACCCAAAGACATTGCCTGTAAACAGCACACAACTGAGAAAACAGCAATGAACGTAGTTGCCTACTTCACAAAAGGTGGACTTATATCGGTGTCTCAAAGGTTGTTGTGACCTGGGTCCATCTGGACCCAGTTTATTATGATATAGATGTCCAGTACGGCATCACACAGCTTGTGCCCCACTAAGGGCTCCAGACAGGGGGCTGATGAACTGCTCCCATCCCCATGGGGAGTTCAGGTTTGGTTCCAGGTGCGAGCTGGACTGTGAGGAAGGCTTTGTACTGAGAGGTTCAAACACACTGCAGTGTACTGCATCTGGACTGTGGACACACACACTGCCCACCTGCCAGGGTGAGTTCAATCAACACTCACACTTTGGAGTGGAAAACAATAGTGCATAGATACAGTACCAGCAAATGACACAGCCTTTCCTTTTTTCTTCCTTACAAAATGTTTGATACGTCAGTATTGGGTATATTAAAATAATTAGACCTATAATTAGGTCTAAATATGCTAAATAAATATATATTAATAAATATGCCAAAATAAAAACTTCTGAGCCTATACATCACACATAAGAGTTATCACACATACATGTAAATTGTGAAAAAACTGATGGCGTTCACAGTTTAGAT